TATACTACTACTCTCTCTCTCTCTCTCTCTCTCTCTCTCTCTCTCTCTCTCTCTCTCTCTCGCTTGCTCTCTTTCTCTCTTGCTCTTTTTTCAAAAGAAATTAACGAAATTTATTTTTATTGTAAGCGGCATTTATTATTCACTCATTAACATTCATCCTTTATTATCAAGCATTTTACCTTGCATGTATTATATGTTTAGCAAATTAATTATTTCTTGTTTACATAAATTAACTAAAATATAAAAGATTTATATCGCTTGTATAAATATTTACCTATAATTCAATAATATTTTTTTCATTTTAATTCCATTTATTTTTGATTCTATGATGAATTATGAATATTTTAATAAATTAAAAAATTTATTTACTGTTCATTTTAATTTTAAAAACAATTTTGGGGGATTTTTAATCAGTATTATTAAATTGATTATAGATTTAAAGGAAGAGAATTAAATTTAGGGTTATTATATTTCAAGTCTGTAAAAAAAATAATTGCATGTTATTGGTAGACAAAGCAAATGTACTTAAATTTATATAAATTCAAAAAAAAGATTATTAGATGGTAAAGCAAGACTATAAATATTATTGTACAATAAATGATACATACAATGATACATACAATATTATTAATCATCTGAAAGCCATATTGAAAATTTATGCGATATATTATATCAATCAAAAATTATCTGAAATATATTACAAAACGTGTTAAATATTGATTTATGAATACTATTGCCCAGTATAAATTCAACAAAATTTAAATTAAAAAATTTAAATTGAAAATATGCCATAAAGAACAAAAAAAGTATCAATTTTTTTCTTAAATTTAAATGCAATCATGGTCGATAAATTATTAATTTTAACGTAGAAAGTTTTTATAAGAATCATTCGTTTCGCTCGTTATCTTTTCGTTTAATAAATTTTTATTGATATTATTTTTTCATTCATCTTCTTCTCTTTCTTTCTCTTTTACAAAAAACTAAAACAATAGCTATAAAGCAATTCATCCGTAATTTCGGCAATGTTCGAGTCTTTATCTTTGCTGCAAAATTGCCAAAAATATTTCCGCCCAGGGGCCAAAAATGAGAAAAAAAAAAGAACAAAGAGGAATAGCGCCACTTGATGTTGTGCATAATGTTATGTATACGCACGCTGATTGGCGGCGATGCACGTGCTTCTGTTTCCTCAGGCAGATTTGGCCGTCGGGATTGGTCGGCGCGCATCGTACATCCAATCGCGCGGCTCGATTTAAATCTCCCTCGCATCCGGATGTGACGACGCGTGATGCACGGTGGATTACGTAATCAATGCGTCAAATCATCAGGACGATTACACAAGCTGTGTCGCGCTATAGTGCGTGCCACACGGCATATTTCACGCTCCGGAGTTCAGGGGAAACGTCAGCACTGTAAATAGAAGTGCTGAAAGCGCTTCGGGAAACAAGAAGGCGCCGGCCGTTTTCACGTTGCGCATAAGTATCATTATTTGCAAGTGAGCTCGGGATTTTGCAATATCTTGAGAAGCTAAATCGTTTTGAAGAAACAGCGAAAATGTCCAATTCTCCGGTGCTTAATCCAGTAAGTGACTCTTGCTGCGCTTTAACGGTACTTTCATTGATCCGCAAAGTATCCGCATTGCCGATGCTTTTGCGTCTTGGAAACCACGGATTGTATGTTACTCATTATTAATTTATTTATTGATGATTAGCACTGTAATCCTAATCGTTGTAAATTACATTGATAATTTTTTAATATTAATATATTATATTAAATTATTAATGTAATTTCTAATATTAATTTAATATAATATATTAATATTATATTAATTTTTTTAATTATTTTAAAGTATATCAGAATGTATATCTTTTGATTATATTAAATATATATTATAATATAATTGTAATTATATTATGACTTTTATAAATTTTAAAAGTACCACTAAAATAATTTATTCTCCAATTTTTAAGTTTGTACCATGCTATTTTTAGAAAATTATTTGTCTATTGTTTGATCATGTTTTATCATTTTCTCGTATTTTCTAATAGGAAATCCCATATGTGGGAAAAGTGGAAGGAGGTCTGAGGGCTGGTACAATGGTGAAGATACAGGGCAAGGTACCATCTCAGGCCGTACGATTTGCTGTAAATTATCAACTTGGACCAACATTAAATCCGAGAGACGATATAGCCATTCATGTATCTCCACGTTTTCCCGAAGGCTTTATTACTAGAAATCATATAGAGTCAATGACCTGGGGCATGGAGGAGAATGCTGGTCCATTGTGGATTCAACCAGGCCAGGAATTCGAGATGTTAATTTTATGCGATTATCACTGCTACAAGATCGCTATTAATGGCAGGCATTTCACAGAATTCGCCCATCGATTGCCATTCGTAAAAGTTACTCATCTAGTTATTGATGGCGATGTTGAAATACATTCCATCGCATATGAACAAGTATCAGTCGATCCATCAAAATCTTCCGTTACAGCACCAGATGCGGAAACTGCTAATTTTGGACCACCACGTAAGGAATTGTATTTTTATTTTGATTAGATATTTTGACAGATCTAATACATAATAACATTATATGGCTTTATGAGGCATTAAGAACTTGATTTTTTTTTAAAGCACCAGGTGGTTTATATCCAACAATTCAACCTGGGGGTGGATATGGGCCTCCTCCTCCGACTGGTTACGGTCCTCCTCCCTCTGGTTATGGCCCTCCTCCCTCTGGTTATGGCCCTCCTCCTTCTGGTTATGGTGGTCCTGAAGGTTACAATCCACCAAGAGCCTATGGATATCAACCTGGTTCTGAGAAACCAGAGGAAGAAGGTGTCTTTGGAAATTGTATGGACAAAGTTGGATTAGCATTAGGTGGATTAGTAGCAGCTGGAGGTGTAGCGGCAGCTATGCACGCGTTGAATGTAAAAATATATTCAACTTATCATTACATTTATAATATTATATGTTATTTAAATTTAAATTCATTAACTCATTAACATTTGTAGAAAAAGAAAGATGAGAGTGAGGAAAAGGATCATGAAAAATCAGATGCTTCCAAATCGAAGACTGAAAGCGAAAGTGGCTTTGGTAATTTAGCTGGTTCTCTTGGGATGGCCCTAGCTAGCAGTCTAGCAAGCAATGCATTGCACAGCAACACACACGCACAACAAGGCTATCCCGCCCAACCGCAATCGGGTGGTGTATTGGATTCTATTCTTGGAGCGTTAGGTATGGTATATTTATAACTCAAATTTCAAAAATATTATATCTGTAATCTGATCGAGAATGTTATCTACATAATATAATAGAAGAATCTTGAACTCTCAGAACATTTCTTGCGTGATATATATATAAATAAAATATTTATGACTTAATGAAACGCTTGTTTTTAAGCGTTTAACGGTATCCCCGGTAATTCTGTAAATGAGTATATATCATGATTCAGAAATTCTATTAGAATTTCTGAATCATGATATATACTCATTTACAAGTTAGAAAATCTGTAATCAAGCGCTGGCGTGATTGGCCGAATGATATCATCGCATTGGAATTATTGCCAAAGACAGGAATATTTCTCAGATGAAGGAATAGATAGATGATTATCTGTATCTAAGATACATTCTTGATACAATAAAATGTATTCTTGATGTATCTGGGATGCGATTTATTTATCTATTTTGTTTCTTAATTGATATTACTAGGCGGTGGAGGATCTCAGCAACCTGCTTATGGTCCGACACATCCATCCGGCGGTGATAGCTTGGGCGGAACGTTAGGATCTATATTCGGTGGCGTTCTCGGTGGTGGTGGAAATCATCAGCAACCACCGTACCAACCTTCAGGAGGATACGGCGGATATCAACCATCGGGTGGTTATCCTGGTGGTGGATATGGCAGCCAAAGTTCTGGTGGATCAGATTTATTATCAGGAATAGGATCTGCCTTGTTTAGTTCGGCCTTGGATGGTCTGAGCAAACGTGGAAAAGATGTAAATAACTTATTTTAATACATTTTGATGTACATGATTAAAGAATGAAAAAAGAAAATTTGATAATATTTTATAAATAATATTTTGTGAATCTTTTATGCATAGAAATCTCATGATGAACATCGTTCTGGACCCCCTCCGAGTTACGAACCTCCCCCGCCAACACCGCCGGCACCAAGGCCAGCCCCACGTCCAGAAACTCCACCATCTTCTGACGGGCGCAAATTAACCGCGGAAGAAATTTCCAAGGGACTTGGATTAGATGATTAAATGCTTCGATGATGCGGAAGACTTCGGTCTGCAAGTACACTTATAGTAAATGATGTTATGCTCTCTTGTTGCTTGAAAATGTTATTTACGTACCATCACGAATCTCAAAAATATCCAATATTATTTATTAACCGTTTGAATATTACGCGATCGTACTGTTTTTGTTGCTGGTCATAATGCGTCATCATAATATCTTGATAGACTAAATGACAGTGCGCTCGGATTCTACTATGTAATGGATAGACGTTACAATTCAAAGCGTATTCATTAAAACGGAATTTTTATTTTCGTATTTGTTGTTATAATAATACTTTTATTAAAAATGAATAAAAAAATCATGCAAGGAAAGGCACGATTGCGTTACTTGGCACTTTCCGACTATATTTCTTCGATTACTCGTGATATTCAAACGGTTAAAATGTTCGATGCAATCGTTTATCTTTTAATAATAACAGCTTTTAATCTCATTGGCAGCTATATCAAATACACAAGAGAATATTAATTAATATCATGTGCAAATCTCGATATGAATTACTTCGTATAAAAATACGGAATATAAATTAATTAACTTGTTCAAAATGATATTAAGTAGAATTAAGCTTGTTATAAAATTGCTTTTAAAAGTGTTGAAAATTATGTATTTTAGATAAGAATCTCAACATAGAAATCAAACTCAGATCGCTTTTTACAAAGCCTTCCATCAAATAGTCCAATTGACAGATATGCAGGTATAGCAAGAAGTTAATATTTTTTAAGATTATATTTTTATAAAAGTTTTATTATTTTATAAGAGTGTGGCCTTAAAGAGAGATATATACATATATAATAATATATACCTTATACATATATATATATTTTAATTATAAATAATGCACAATAATCGTTACATATATTATTTATATTAGAAGATAAATATATTGATTACATAAAACATATTAAGTTTTATTAATATTATTTATATTAGATTGACTCTAACTCTTATTTATAAATTATATATTTTTTTTAATATTTATATTTGATCATGATTCAGAGTTCATGATGAGATCATGATTCTCATCAAAAATACTTTAAAAAAAAAAATTATGATTTAATAAAATATGTTACAATCATCATGAAGATAAAAATCTGTATATACAAAAAATTAACTAAACGACATTTATCATCAAATCATCTTCAGCTTTTAATGTATCAAAATCTATTCTTTTTCTGCTAAAGAATCCGACTTTCCTCAAACCTAATGTTAACAATAGTAGCAGACTAATTCCTAAAAATATTGAAAGTGTCATTATCCACTCCGGTAGTTCCTGAACTGTCGGCGGACCCAAAAATGTCGTCCAAGTAATATCCGATTTATGACTATCTTTTTGGGGGATATTGTAAGGTTGCGTTACAATAATGCTACCTTCAGTCACGTAAAATATGATGTCTTTACCTCCTATCACGTCACCTGCAATCCGTAAAAAGTAAAATGTATTCTTCTTTCATCTCTTTGTACATCTGATGTTACACTTACCAGGAAAATTCAACCATTGTAGATCCAGCGTTATTATAATTTTCGCAACGGACAAGGGATTTAAGAATGGTCGCAGTCTGCAATCAAAATGTGCACAATAAACCTCTGCATTTGTACAATTAATGTAAACCGTCCTGTTTTCAGATAGTACGTTTATCAGTGGATTTTTTTCTGTGCTAAATTTCACGTGCGCATTATTATTCGCATGCGATAGGTTCACTATATTTTTATGCATAGATGCGATTTTTTTTAACATTTCGCGATGTGAGTCACTGCAATGTAACTTGTATCTGTCCATCTTTCCAGTAACATCTTTGATGTTGACGATTGTTACTTCTCCGAAACGAGGGTGCCAAATGTGCGTCGGAATTTGTATGGTCAACATAGCCTCTTGAATAGGACTGACACCGAATTTGTGTACTTCGTAGAAGTGTTGGAACTTAATCCTGCTCGGCGGTCTTTTCTCGTGTAAGCACGAATACAAACTCTCTCGTGCTTTTCTAATAAATAGAATAGTAATCAATATATAATTGCAAAGCTTGATAAGTTATATGCACACCGACATATACCAACCCGACAATCGTTAAGTCAAAGTCCACATCGAAATATACAGTGATGGCAAAAGAATTGTCATCCAAATTGTTTTCCTTGGTCTGAGTGCTGATATTCGCCTGTAAGTTTATTTCTCTAACATCGTATTTCACCATGCTCATATCCAGTTGCAGCGTTAACATTTTCTGCAAGATAATAAATTGATTCATCTTATTCATTGATAGAGAATTTACTTTACGCATATAAAAAATTGTCATACGTTTGTTCTAAGAGGATCGCCGATATCGCAGATCAAAACCAAAGTACTATTGGTGTAATTTTCCATACATTCAGGCGGGATTCTCGCTAATGTTAAGATCTCAGTGACGATGCGCACTTTTGTGCGGTATGCGGGTTTGCCGCGATTATAAGCCTTGACATACAGCAATATCATTTCCGTAGAACCGATGATATATCTATTATTGGAGCTCGAATTAGTAGACAAGCTTACGCTGAGGTCAGACACCGGAATGTCTTCGTCTTTTAAAAACGGCAATTTGACAACTTCTTTGATCTTTGAATGCTGCGTGTCCATAACACTGTACGCGTAATGCTCTCTATTTACTGCATCATTTAACTTCAGAGATGCTGATATCTCGAGAGGACTTGTCAATTGTTTGATATCTTTCTGAGATACGCAAAAGTATGCATGATAATATAGTAAAAAAAGATTCACATAAACAGACATGAATGTATATACCTTGAGTACTATTAAAGGTTGAATAAATATGAACAGAGGTAATTTAGGTATTCCGTAAGAGTACGTGTAAATTCCATTGTGGTTTTTGTCAAAATTTCCAATTCCAGCTCTGCGGTGTAATTGATCAATTTTAAAAGTCACCTGAAAGTCTAAAACCAACAATAACGGAATTTGAAGCTGACACACAGTTCAATACATTGTGTAACATCAAATACTTTAGACATAATGTAAATATAATATAATATAAATAATATAACAAATATACATATATAACAAATATAACATAATATAAATTAAATTAAATTAAATTAAAATTATAGATTGATAGCTTACGTAAACTCTCCGGTGCGTTTGTGCCATCGTAAGACATCAAGGTTTTAAGAACAAAAGACGTTATGTTTTCCAACAATGTTGCCTGTGGTTCGAGCACAATTTTTAACTTGACTACCGGCACTGATTTGAACAGAACCACTTCATCGGACAAGTAAGAGCCCACAGCTATGTCGGAATATTTGTCGCGATTCACATCTCGGGGTTCCGAGATAGAGATCCCGAACCCTCGCAAAGTCGGCGAGAATCGTGAACCGGCCAGTCTCTGACTATACTTTTGGGAAATGCCATCTTTGTTTCCATTGAAGATGTACACCGCACCGCCACTTTCCTCTTCGTAAGGTGCGCCCACAGCGATATCGCCGTAGCCATCGTAATCGATGTCACCTAGACACATCACGGCAGACCCGAATCTGCCTCCGATTATCTCGCCTTCGATTGTTTGTAGTTCTTCGAAATTTTTCTGAATTTATAGCAAAATACAATTTTTAGAAAACTGAGTGTTTTTTTTTTAATTTTCAATCTTTTAATGTATTCAGATCCTTCAAGAGTTACTTTAATCGAATAAATTTTTCTCTCTCCAAATATAATTCTCCGTTTTCTCCAGATAAATCTAATTTCTTAAAATATCGAAAATAAAAAAAATTTGTAAGAGATTATTTATGTATCGTAAATAATCAATATCTTTTTATAGTAAATTTTAATATTAGCACAATCTTCTTTAGATTTTGTCATATTAAAAACTTATAATTAAAAGCTTATATTCGTGCGGAAGTATTATTCTTAATTCAATTGAAATTATGTTGCCAATATTATCTCTTAGATAATTAATTCATAAATTAACATGTAAATAACATACATTGTTTCGTACTGTAAAAATGTAGACGCGGCCTTCGTCCATGTTTTTGGACCACTGTGGTGCGCCTACGATCAATTCGTGTCTACCATCATTATTGACATCGCACGATGTTAGTGCGGCACCAAAGTATTCGCCGACTTGTTGACCGTTTACAAATATCGTTCTAATAGGTGTAGCTTGATTATTTTTTAAAACGAATACGAGGACTAACCCGGACAAGTCAGCACCTCTAGGCGCACTGGAAGCGTACCAAGTAATATTTTTATTTAAGTAATCAAAATAAGAACCAGCAGTTACAGCATATCCTGAAAAAAATATTTAGCTATATACACGTATATATAAATGGTATATATAAAAGGATTAAAACAAATGCATCAAAATGATTATATATTTAAGACAATTTCTGATTAATCTTTTGTACCTTCCTATGTAAGAAAAGAATAGTTTGAAATTAGAATAAGCAAAAGTGCTTACATTTGACACACACACACACACACACACACACACACACACACACACACACACACACACACACACACACACACATTTAATTTTAATAATTAAAGTTTGATAATTAAATAATAATTATGATTCTAGTGGTGAATTATCGGTATTAGATCTATCGTAAAAAGTTAGTAGAAAAAAGAATTATATCTTTACCAAGATAACTATTAGCACAAATCTCTTGATTTTTACAAAGAAAGGGTTTAACTTCTTTCACATTATATCGAGAAATCGCAATTGATACCACATCGCCTTTCCAATTCTCTGTGCCTGGGCTACCCAGTAGGATATCCGTGTCGTTTTTTGAATTCATGTATAAAGAAAAACCGGCTTGTGCCAGCGTGTAATTATTATAAACGGATGTGATGTTCTCGTGTACAATTTTTTTCGTAAATGGTAAGAAATACCATTCCATTGTTTTGTCAAAATCACTAATGTTGGTAGCTAATATCTCATAACAAATGCCATTCATATATTCCATGCTTTCATTTATGACAGTATATCTCCATCGCGGTCCGCAAACCTGTCGTCAATAAGATTATTTGTTGAATGACAATAAAATATACTCGCACATATTATATTATTTTTAAATAATCATATTTCTTTCATTCGCAGGTTCTTTGACTTTAGTTTTGAAATTATTAATAATGAATGAAATATAAATGATGACACTATATCTTTAGCTTTCGTATTATTATAAAACGATAAATACTATAAAAAAAATCAATATTAATTTTATGAATCTAAAATATATAGATACAATGATTTTGCTGAAATGTTTAAAAGTATGGTCAAATACATATATCTGTAAATAATTTGTTGTTATTATAAAAATAATTATACAGTACACTTGTAGATGGTAACAATATTCCAAAAACTTTCGACATTCTAATCAATTTAAACGTATATATTTACTTTAATGATTTAATAAAATTTATTTTCTGATCTGTATCTGACCAAATTTTTATGTATTTTAGCAAAACTCTTCTCTCTTTCGTGTAAAAATTTTAAGTTTTGTCTAATAATAATAAGGATAAAAAAACAAACACACGTACCACAACTCTAGGCTCCGCCTTGTTTTGTATGGCAATAGTCGCACCGAACCAAGAGTTATCCTTTTTCTGATTGATTAGATTCTCAAAATGAAGTGGAGCATTGTGAACTACATCTAGCATCCATTCCTGGCATATTCCATTCATCTGACACTTGAAGATCACTCCCGGTTCTATTATGTCCGGCTCTGCGCTGGAGTTCGCTCGCGGGGCTCCGACGAATAATAGAGATTCATTCACACCCGCATACAGAGCTACCGAAAATCCGAAGTAACTTTCACGTCCACTTATAAATACAGGATCACGAAATATTATGGCGCTGTCCGAGTCGATATTATATGCTAATGGATTATATCGTATGATTGTTAATATGAAAATTAAAGTCTGCATATGAAAATGCACCTCTAAATTCGCATGTGCGTATAACATTTTTTCTAAATTCTTATATAACATTTATTCAAATTCTTTGCTTTCCAAAGGTTTCAAATGTAATGTGATCAAACACAATATGAACTGGCTAAACGATAAATTCGGATTTTATCAACGGATGTGGTACATGAATGCCGCAATGATATCAAGATCAGGATTTATCCTCCTCGAGAAATAAAAACATTTTTTAAAGATATGATTCAGCAATTATTTTATATTTCGTTTATTAAAATACGCAATATATTTTATTGTCTTTCAACAATGGCAGATTTTTAAAATTGTATATACTAGTAGATGTGTCAAATATAAATATAAATAAATATTTGTTGAATATCGTATTTGAATCTTATATAATATAAGTTGATTCCACGTAAAATTAAACAAAATTAGAGCCAAAATAGAAATCAAAGACATTCCACTTTTTAACAGTCTTCCATGAAACAGTTTAATTGACAATTATGCATAATTATATATCAGCCATTTTTTGCATATAACGTTCATCGCACACTTCCGGCATTATCACAAACGATAATTCGTTGAAGTTCGCTTATGTGACTCCTACGAATAACAAGGATTCTGACTTTTTCGCATTAGCATACAAAGAATACCGAAGTAACTTCCACATATAAATATAAATACAAAATCACGAACTATTATGGCGCTGTCCGAATCGATGTTATATCATATGATCATTATTAATATGAAAATTAAAGTCTGAATATGAAAATACACTTCTAAACTCGCATATAATTTTTTTCAATATCTTTAGAAGGTTTCAAGTATGATGTGATCAAACATAATATGAACTGTTTATTATGAAAATATGGACTACAATATTTGCTATCACCAGATGTGATATTGCAACGATGTTATATCAAAATCAGAATTTCAATCAATTTTGAAAAATGAGAATCTTTTTTTAAAGATTTATTCATTATTTTATATTTCAAAATACACAATATACTTTGTTACCTTTTGATGTCAGCAGAAGAATCTTTTAGAATTGCATTTTTAAATGCTTCATATATATAGATATAAAGTTATATAAAGTTATATCTTCTGACATTATATTTGAATCTCATTTGTCTAATTCTACACAATATTAAGTTAAATTAAATTAATTTCAAAATTGTTTTTCAAGATTTTTAAAACTATATATCAAAAATAATGAAAGTGGAAGTAAAAATCAAATATATAATATTTTTTAACTACAATATTTTTAATTTTAAACTTTTTGAAACATCTAATTATAACAACAAGATAAAAATAATCTTTTAATATTTTTATAAAAACTTTTTATTATTTTACAAAAGCATGCTGTAGAAAAAGATATATATGCATTATATATTGGAAATATAATGATAATATGTAATGACAATTATATAATTGTTTATCAGAAAATAAAATACATTATAAAATGGAATGCATTTATATTATATATATTAAGAATCTGACATGTTCTATATTAATTGTGTGTACTCAATTGTGATCAAGAGCTTCCGTCGAAGATGTTGTTTCCAGTATCACATTATATTTTTTCTGAAACGCGAATTGCTGTTTAATAAAGTAATTAACAATAATTACGAGGAATTAAAATGAGAATTTCCATTTACGAAATATAGCGAAAATGCTAAACGTACATCAGCTTCGGCTTTCAACGCTTCAAGTTCCAACTTCTTCTTTCTGTTAAAGAACCCAATCTTTATTAAACCTAATATTAACAATATCAATAATATGATTCCTAAGATCACCGAGAGCACTATTATCCAAATTGCTATCCGTTGAGCTATTGGCGAACCCAAAAATGTTGTTGCAACCAAAATGTCGTCTTGTTTATGATTTTCTCTTTGAGCAATATTGTTAGGTTGCTTTATCACAATGCTACCTTCCGTCACGTAAAATATGATATCTTTGTGCTTTATCACATCATCTGCAATGAAAGAATATTCATAATGTAACTTTTCTTCTATCGGTTCTATATTGTTTAATAATGTTATATTTACCAGGAAAATTCGATAACTGCAGATCTAATGTTACCAAAAATTTCGCAACAGACAAAGAACTTATGAACGGACCCAATCTGCAACTGATTTGTACGCATTGTATCACATTACTTGTACAATTAATGAAGAATGTTCTGTTTTCAGATGGTACGTTCATAGGTATATTTTCTTCTATGCTGAATTTCTCGTGCGTTTTATTATTCGTGGAATTCACCATAACTGCATTGTTCATGGCAATCTTTTTAGACGCTACAGAAAATATTTCAGTTTCGTTTGAATCACTGCAGTAAAATTGATGTCCGTCCATTTTGCCAATAGTATCATTGATACTGACAATCGCCACGTCTTCGGTATCGTGTCGGCGAAGACGTATTGGAATTTTCACAGTCAATACTGCTTCTTCAATAGGACTGACGCCAAATTTTTGCACTTCGTAAAAGTGTTGAAACCTAATATTGTTCAGCGGTTTCTTCTCATTCTCGCGCAGATACGAGTACAAGTTTTCCTGTGCCTTCCTAATGAAAACAGCAATGAAATTAAAATCGCAATATCTTTCAGATGAACATTCTTATCGAGATGTACCAACCCGGCAATCGCTATATCGATGTCTGCGTCAAAGTATACAGTGATAGTGTAACTGTTGTCATTCCAATTTGCCTCCTCGCTTTGAGAGCTGATATTCACTTGTAATTTCACCTCCTTAATATCGTACCTCATCGTGCTCATGTCCAATTGCAGCGTTAAAGTTTTCTGCAAGATAACAAATTGATTCATATTTTATTCATCGCTAGAGTCTATCTATGCACATGAAAAAATCATCGTACATTCGTTCTAAACGGGTTACCAATCTCGCAGATTACATCCAGCATGCCGCTCACGCCAGAGTCTTCCATACACTCGGGTGGGATACTCGCTAATGATAAAACCTCGGTGAAGATGCGCACTTTAGTCTGGTACGCTGGTTCGCCGCGATTGTAAGCGTCAACGCGCAGAGTAATTATCGGAGTCGAACCGATGATGTACCTGTTACCCGAAACCAAGTCAGTAGACAACGCTACGCCGAGATCAGACACGCATACATTATCCTCGCCGCAATCCACGGCGAACGGTAACTTTATGAGATCTTCAGTCTTCGAACGAAACTTGTTTAGCACGATGCAAGATGCGCAAGATGAGTTTTCATTTCTCGCATAAAGATCATCTTCTAATTGTATTGACACTGATATTTCAAGCGGATCTATTAGATTTTGAATATTTTCCTAGAACATACAAAAGTGTGAATCCAGCATACTAAAAAAATTATCAATGTCAACGGATATTAAAATATATATACCATTAGATGTAGCTCAAGCAAATCGCTCGTGATCGTAGCTTTAAATAGCGTGTAACGCAGTATGTAGGTCTGTGCTCCATCGCTACTCTTCTGCTTCCGGTACGTGGCCCTGCCGTGCAATGAATCGATCTTCAGGATCGCGGTAACTCCTGGAGTGACAGATAAATTTGGCAATAAACTGATACGAGGAGATGGGCATGTGGCGTTGCATTAAAAAATTTATAAATGAACAAATATAAGTTAGAAGGCCATTAGCCACTACTTACGCAGATTGTCAGGTACGTATACGCCTTCGTAAGACATCCACATGTCGATCTTGAAGGACGTTGTGTTTCTCAGCAGTTTGATTTTTTGCAGTTGCACCAATGTTATGTTCACCGTGATAACCGGCACGGATCTCAGCAGAACCACTTCGCTGGATAGATAAGCACCCACAGCGATATCAGGATAGTTGTCGCGATTTACATCACGAGGTTCTGAGATAGAGATGCCAAATCCCCGCATCGTTGGCGAAAATCGTGAGCCGATCACTCTCTGACTATACTTCCGGGAAATACCTCTTTTGTTTCCATTGAAGATATACACCGCACCGCCGCTCTCTTCCTCGTAAGGTGCACCAACGGCGATATCGCCGTAGCCGTCGTAGTCGATGTCACCCAAGCACATCACGGTAGATCCGAATCTACCTCCAAAGACCTCACCTTCGATTGTCTGCAGTTCTTCGAAATTGTCCTGCGTTTTGCGTAAAATTCAATTTTTAGAGAACTTATATCTATCAATTTTAATTTATTTTTTATTTTTCCTAAATCTTAGAACTAAAAAAAAGAAAGATAAGTTAAAAATAAGTTAAACCAAGATTAAAGTCAATCTAAATAGTAGAAATGAATATATGTTCTTTTACTTCTTAATTATAAGAAATATTCAAATCGCCAAGAAGCGTTTTAAAGTAAGGATTAAATGTAACAGTAAACGTTTAAATCTACGTTAATGAGGAATCAAATGTAAATTATTTAAAATTATTCTCTGATCCGTACATACTTTATGCCGCACTGTAAAGATGTAGACGCGACCTTCGTCCATGTCTCTGGACCATTGCGGTGCACCGACGATCAATTCATGTTTGCGATCATTATTGACATCGCACGATGTTAATGCGGCACCAAAAAACTCGCCGTAATTTTGACTGTACACTACCGTTTTGATAAACATACGCTGATTACTTTTAGGAGGAAAGATAAATATAAAGACCTTCCCGTACATATTCACGGTTTTTGGTACGCTGGAAGCGTACCAGACATCTTGCTCGTTGAAGTAAGTACCCGCTGTGATGGCATATCCTGAAAATCATAGATTGTATGTACATAGATTCGAAAGAGATCAGGTGTATCAATGGTCGGACATTTAATATAAAACTCTGTGAAAATAAGACAAGATATATAGAAAAAAGATACAATTTTGAAATATCTTCGTCTTTAGATGTACCATCTTTAGAGCATACTATTTTTTGTAAATGCAAATATTAACTTATATATAT